GATATTGGCTATCTTTAAACTCATAAAGGCTGCCACTTTTCTGAACCATTACCAACCGTAGTGAAATTTCAGTTCTTTTATTAGAAGAACTAGAGGCCCTGTGCATGAGATTCAGGCACTGGAGCGGGGGAAAGGGGTCCCTCAGCCTGGCCTGTGCCCTCTTGTAGTCTGGGAGCCCTTGGGGGATGTCTAACTGAAGGCTTAATCCATCCTTAGCACTGCCTGGGAGGAGGGAGAGACTCCTGCCACTGCCACTGCGCTCACCAGCCATGAGCTCTGCTTCTGGCTGAGAGGTGCTGCCCCTGTGGGAGCACACTGACAGCTCCTTCATTGATCGTCTGCCCCTGGTGGTCAGTATACGTCATAGTGACTGGTCGTTCCGCTGTTAGGCCGATTTGCATATTATCCATTTATTATATAGGATTCCCAGTATCTTGTGGCTTCTTCCAACTCTTCAGCTACCTCTAGTATATGTATATCTGTGTGTACATATTTATATATATATATACATTTTTTTTAAAATATATATTTTATTGATTTTTTTACAGAGAGGAAGAGAGAGGGATAGAGAGTTAGAAACATCAAAGAGAAAGAAAAAAATAGATCAGCTGCCCCTTGCATACCCCCTATCAGGGATATGCCCGCAACCAAGGTACATGCCCTTGACCGGAATCGAACCTGGGACCTTCCAGTCTGCAGGCCGATGCTCTATCCACTGAGTCAAACTGGTTTCGGCTAGTATATGTATATTTAAATGTTGTACCACTTTCTCCCATCAAAAGTTCATTTCATCACTGATGGATAAGAATATGACAACTGCGTGCTGCGCCAGCACAGCCAAGGGTTTGGCAAGCCCCTTGGGAGGGGCTCGTGAAGGATGAAGAAAAGACAGACAAAGAGAATAAGCTGGGTCTAGGTGGATCTTCTGTGTCTGGCTGAGAACACAGAACAGATCCAGGCTGCAAGCTGAGCCTTTATTTTATAGTCAGAGGTAAACAAGGTAATTTACAATGTTCTTGTAAGTTTCACTTTTTTTTTTTTTTTTTTTTTTTTTTGCAGCTCTTGCTGCACCTCCCACAGCCCATTAGCTAAAGACAAAAGATCTAGGGAGAGTCACAAAATAAAGCTTAATTATGCTAAGTGGGCTGTGCTCTCTAAGCTGGGACTAGTTTTTGGCCAATAGGTCAGTCTGAGGCTTAACCCTATAACAACTCCCTATACAACTGTACTGTTTTTAAATGTTGAAGAATACCTCAAATTTCTTTGGAAAATAAATGATATTCTTCATGTTTTATTATTGTGAGTTATATTTTTAAACTTCCAAGGCAGGTTACCTTTCCCTATAGGTCTCTCTATACATGTTTCCAGAAGGATAAAACACTTTAATGACTGATGTTAGGAGGCAAAGAATTGAATTTGGATCTGTGGAGCTGCAAGCTTTCAAACCAAAGAGAGAAATGGCTCGTGTCTGAGCTGATTTGAAACAGAATCTGCAGTACCTTGCAGCTCTTTCCATGGGGGTATCTGCGCAAACAAAGAAATTTCCATTCATTAGGAAAAATCCATATTTGACACATTACTATTAGAGACTAATGGGAAATAACCATAATTTCTTGAGTGCCTATTCCATGCCAGCATCTTCCGGAGTTTTTACAGATACTCTGATATTTAATTCTCATAAGAACCCTTTAAGTAGTTATTTCCCACATTTTTCAGATGAGGAAACTAAAGCTCAGAGAGTTTGGTAACTTGGTAACCGTAGTCACTCAGACTCCCAAGCCTGTGCACTTCCTATGGTTCTGGGTTGCTGTCCCCAAAACTATAAATCAAATCACAGAGCAGCAGCTTTAAACAGTATAATATACCTGTATAGTTGCTGTTGTAACAATGCTCATGAAGATTGAGGAATGTCTGTCTTTCTACTAGATTGGAAGTACATGAGGTTTAGTAGCCAAATTTTAAAAACAAATTTTATATCACTTATAAGATCTAGCCCTTTACATATATAAAGTGGTCACTAAATATTTAACAGAATAGATCTTTTAAAATATATATATATATATTTTTATTGATTTTTTACAGGGAGGAAGAGAGAGGGATAGAGAGCTAGAAACATCTATGAGAGAGAATCATCGATCAGCTGCCTCTTGCACACCCCCTACTGGGGATGTGCCCTCAACCAAGGTACATGCCCTTGACCAGAACCAAACACGGGACCTTTCAGTCCCTAGGCCGACACTCTATCCACTGAGCCAAACTGGTTTCGGCCAGAATAGATCTTGAATAGCCAGAAAGAGGAAAACATTTTCTTTTATCCTCTCATCCTTATTTTTGTTTCATCTGATCATAGTACACCAGGAGGCAAAGAGATGGACCAGTCAATGGCCTTGCATTTCAGCAAGAACAAGTCTCAGCTCTTCTAAAAAATAATCCATTGATTTCAGATGAATGCCAATGAAAAAAATGGTTGAACAAAGATAAACCTACAAATAAAAACCATCCTCAGGAAGTCATCCCCCAAAATAAACCTACAAATAAAAATCATTCTCAAGAATTACCCCAAATGGGTACAACGTGGATGAAGTCTTTATTCAGAAGAGTAAATGAGTTGTAACCCAGCCTTTAGAGCTAACTTCTAGATAACAGGAAATAGAATTGTGTTGCAGACACCATAGAATAAATCCAGAAGGCTGCCCCTGTTTCTTTTATAAGACAAAGCTATTCTAAAAATAGAAGGTAGGGAGAAGGGGGAAGCTAGTCTGGGTTAAAAACAGATGTCACCAAATGCAATGTGTGGCCATTGTTTGGAGCCTGGTCTGACTTAGTCAGCTATGAAAGACATATTGGGATCAGCAGGGGAAATGTGAGTCTGGATTGGCAAATCATCTCTCTGTCTCCCTTTCTCTTTCCCTTCCTTCCCCCTTCCTCAGAGACCTAGCCTTCCCTCAGATAATCAGCGACCCTCCAGGCAGCAGAAGACATCAGCTGGGACCTGACTAAAGGTCCAAAGGTCTGGACCTCTGCCAGGATAAAGATAACATCTTTCACGTCCTAAGCTGGAAGGTCCGCCCTGGCTCCTTTCCCATGAGACCTGACAGGGGCACTAGAAACAGACCTCAGAGCTGTCCTCCAGATCTGAAGAAGTAATTCATTACCCTTACCTCACCTCACACCAATCAGCTCCCAACTCGATGGAACCCCCCCTAACCCATGGTGTGTTGAGGTTTTGCCCTATATAATCTGTAACCTACATTCCATCGGGCTTTTGAGCATTAGCTTCCCTTTCTCTTGAAGGCATTCATAGTAAAATAGCCAACAGTGCCTGACTGATGTGGCTGGCTAAGAGACCTATGAACCAAGCGGTTGCCATTTTGATTTCAGTCAGGCACATGCCCAGGTTTTGGGCTCGATCCCAGTAGGGGGCTGGTAGGAAGTAGCTGATCCATGTTTCTCTCTTCCTCTCTCTCGAAAAATCAATAAAAACATATTTTTTAAAAGCCAACCTTTCTCCACTTCAATTGTTAGTGTGTAGTGTTTGGCTCAGCTAGTGCAGATTTACACTTTCTGTTCTATAACAACTGATACTGGGTAATTATTTTTAGTTTTAGTTAACCGTGAAATGGTAATATAGTTATGTAGAAAGTGTTCTTTTAAAATTGAGATGCACATTGTAATATTGAGGAGTGAAATATCACAATATCTTTACTTTAAAACTCCAGCAGAAAAGGTGATGAATAAGGCAAAATAGTTTTTGAAGTTAAATATTTGATGTCGTTTTTCATCATAAAGAGTAAACAATCACCCAGGAGAATGAAGAAGGGTTTAAAAGGGGAAGAATCCTGCCAAGACTAGTTTGGATCAATGGATAGAGCGTCAGCCTTCGGACTGAAGGGTCCCAGGTTCAGTTCCGGTCAAGGGCATGTACCTTGGTTGCTGGCACATCCCCAGTGGGGGCGTGCAGGAGGCAGCTGATCGATGATTCTCTCTCATCAATGTTTCTAACTCTATCTTTCTCCCTTCCTCTCTGGAAAAAAAAAAATCAATAAAATATATTGAAAAGAGGAAGAATCCATTCCTCTAAGGTTGCTGCCATTCACCTGTGGCTGCTGCCATGACCGGGTTTCAGTAGTATGAGAGCGGTCCCACAGGAGTCAAAGACACGTGAGCAGGTTCCTTTAGGATCTGATCTCTGTGTGAAAAGAACCCAAGTGAGCCAACCCACAGCCCGGGGACGCTGGGGGATAGGTCACCCCATGGCCCCTGAGTGTCCCCAAACCACAACGGGTAGAGGGACGGGAGGTCAGGGTGAGGGCGGTCCTAGGATCCGAACGGGGCGGAATGGGCAGGGGGCGGGAGAACAACCGGATCCCCTCCGCTCCCACCCGCTGCGCGCGGGCAGGTACCGCCCCTCTCCCACCTGGAGGCGGCGTGCGCGGCCACCGCCCTCCCCTGCCGCCCGGAGGGCCTGGAGTTCGGGGCGGGGACCCCGCGCACCGGGCCGCGGGACCGTGGCCGTGACCGCGGGCTGGGCTGGAGCGGGAGTCGCGTGGCCGGGACCGCAGGTGCGGGCGGAGGGCCGGGCGGGGTGGCGCCGCCCGCGGGGGAAGTTTCTTGGCCGGGAAAGGCGCAATTGTGTGCAATTGTGTGCAGCTATTCCTGGTCTCCGGGCGGCCGCGGGCCGCGGGGGCGCCGTGTCCAGTGGCCCCGGCCGGGAGCGGGCAGGGGGCCCGGCGGGCGCGGGCGGGAGGGATGGGGCGCGGGGGCGCGTGGGCGCGTCCCCTCGGGGTGGGGCTGGGGCTGCGGTGCAGGGCGCTTGGCCCGGGCCCGATCCCCTGGCTGCCCGCGGCATCCCCCCGGCCCAGACGGGCTGCCCACAAAGGCGGCGGCGGCCCGGGAGCCGCAGGGGGGCGGGCGGAAGCGGGGCCGGGCGGCCGGGGTGGGTCGGGGCGGGGCCGTCGGGGAGGGCCGTGCGCCGGGCGCCTTCCAGCAGCTTTGCAAGTCCGAGCAGTTGTTGGAGCTGCTCGCGTCCCGGCGGAACCCGGGGAGTTTCCTAGAGTTTGGAGAAAGCCACATCTTCAGCTTCTTGTAGGTTGGAGATCCGACCGATCGGCGGAGCGCAGCCAAGGGAGGGAGCACCCGGGCGCCTCGCAGACCGAGACCGCGAGCCACCCCCGCCCCTCCCGGCACCCACGCGCCTCTCTCTCCCCCCATCGCCCGGTCCCCGCAGCCATGCAGGAGGGCGAGGCCGGCTGCGCCGTCGCGTTCGCCGAAGCCCAGAGATGGGTAGAGGTGAGTGCCTGTCCCCTTGTCCCGTTGGCACGGGTTCGCGGGCGTCGCGAGGTGAGGGCGCTGCAGGCGGCCCCTTCCCGGGACCTTCCCGGGCGCCGGGCAGCCGGCTGGCTTGCGCGTGCCTTTGGGGGGCTTTGGAAGCCCTGCTTCTCCGGATTCTTCACTCTGCCCTCCCCCGCGACGGGCTCGCCGAGGTGCCCAGAGCCCCTCTGTCAGGGCAGGTTCCGGCGCTGACCCGCCCGGGCTCCGGGGCTGCGCATCCCTGTGGACCAGCCTCCGGAGGCGCCGGGACCCCGGGATGTGTCCCTGGGGACAGCCGGCCCGGGTCCTCCGGTGCTGTTCTTTGGAGGATGTGGAGACGCCGCACACGCCTGCACGGGCGCGCGTGTGGTGTGGGAGGGCTGGTGGGAGAGTGGAGACACCTGTGGCCCTTCGGGGGGGGGACCCGGAGCCCTGAGGATGGGGGCTGGGGAATGGGATGGGGGTGGGGTGGGTGGAAGTCAGGGCTTGCATTTATTCAAAGTCTGCCTTGATGAGATGAGATATCCTGGGGTCACTCAGGGAAGGTCGTTACTTCCTCAGCTGTGCCTCAGAGACAAGATCCTCCACCCCCTTCTTTCCCATTAAAAAAGAAGACAGTCTCCTTCACCAACATCTTGGGGCTAACCTGTTGAAGGTTAACTCCAGGCTTCTAGCCGTTATTCTACTGGATGGAAAAGATGACTTTGTAAATGATGCTCAGGAATCTTCCCAGCAGATGTGAATCACTTGCTTGTTAGAAAATCGTTGCCTGCACCTGCCTTGAAGTCATTTAGGAGTGATTGATGCCAGGTGTTAGCTTATTCATATTTAGTTCAAATTTAATAGTTCGTATTCAGTTCATTTATATTTAAATATGTTTTAAAGTATTTAAACATGAAAATCAGGTTTAAAGGTTATCCTACGGAAAACTCCATAGTCAAGAATTCTAAAGCAAAGTGCTTAAAAAATAACTCATTTGTCCTTAAAGAAATAAATATATTTATATTGAAAAAAATAAAGAGAATAAACGTTCAATGTTAGATTTTTTTTACTCTAAATAAAAGAATGTGAAATGTGAGTAGCATTATCTATTAGGAAGTAGGGAAAGTCTAAGAAATTCACGTTTGGTGTCTTTTGGACTGAAAGTTTGAGCGTCTGAAGGTGACTTAGAAAGATGTGAAGGGGGGTTTGGGGAGGCTGGGAGAAGAATAAACATGGTATTTTGAATTGAAATGAGAGTGGAAAAATTCCAGCAATGTAGTTAAGAGAAGTAACTTCCCTCATTCATCAACTTTGAAAAATCAGGGCTACCAAAGGTAATTTCCCATTAGTAGTGTTTGTTCTGTATACTTTTAGAAGAGAAATTAAATGACCCTTTTTGTATTTGAGTGTTGGGCATGGAGGGAGGGAGAAAGGAAGACATATGGGGACATTATGGGGACATTTTTTTGGTCACACATGGCTCCCGTGTGGAGTTTGTATCTGCACGTTGTGTATTTGCTTCAGGAAATCTGTGACTATGCATGATTTCACATAGTTTCCTTTTAGTATACCTACTTTTAAAATCTGGAAATTCCTGGTTTATTGTAACTTGCTCATAATTGGGTAGGATTTCTGTGAGAAAATTGTTTTAAAAAGTTGGAAAAGCGTTTTGTGATAAAAGATATAGTGCATGGTAAATGTGCTCATCTTCCCACTCCCCTCCCACCCCATCTGAAAGTGTTTCTCAGCAATGATGTGGCATCTCTAAGAGTTTTGTCCATCATTAGCAGAGAGCCAGATCTTTTTAAAGGTTTTGATACATGATTGTAATATACTTAATCAAACTAAAATAAGTGATTTTTTCCCTGGTGTCACAGGGAGCAAGGTAGTGTGTTTATTGTAGATATGTGAATAAATGGATTTATATATTTACAAACTCTTTGCTATACTGTGGGCACTGGAAGTGACAGCAGTGTGTTCCCTTTTAGGTTTATTTGCTTTCAGTGTCCAGATTTACTTGTCTCCTTAGCTTTGCCTTTACAACCAAAACATATAATTTAAAGTATTGTTTTTGCCAAAAGAAGCCGAACGAACGACTCTCTCATTGCCATAACCTCTTTAACTCTGAGAACCCCTAATTTGAAGATAAAATGTTGGTTCCAAAGCCTATTTTATAAAGTATTTTGGAAAGTGAGGAAGATTATAGTGTAAATTTTTCTCTTGCTTGCTAATATTCTTGCTCCATTTTTCCTTTCTGCTATACTTTACATATATTGAAGCATAAGTGGCTCATTCATGTGTTTGTGTGTGTGTGTATGTGTGTGTGTATTGACATCTGTGCATTATAATAGCACATTGTATAATACATTATCTATAATATAATCTTCTACCATTATTCTTAGCTGCAGTTTCGAATAACCCAAGGTCAGGAAACTCCAATAACCTTGTAAAACTTTGAGTGGTGACCAGAGTCCATGTCAGAATGCCCTTGGCATTTCCACTCTCCATCTGTGATTTTACATAGCTAATGGATTATTGCCACATCAGAGTTAAAGTTTTATTTATTTCATCTTGGGAGGGAAGGAGGAGTGAGGTGAGGGCTAGTGGTTGTTATTCTGCCAATTACTATTATTTTATGACTCGTGTTTTTATTTATTTCATATTGTACATAGGTACTTTATAGTATATTTATACTTAACCTCTGGCTAGTTTAGTTTTCAATTCTAAACAAATGTAGGAATGCTACTCTTTGAAGTAATTCACCATAATGCTGTTGGATATTATCTGGTTGGAAATGCTGTTTGGAATATTAATGATGTAGCAGAGCTGGTTTATGATTAAACACTAGTTTAAAACCAAATATGTAATGGTTTGAAGGCAAAGGCCGAGGGGAAGCTTGATTTCAGGATGGTCATGGAGTGGGTGATGGCAGTGGTAGAACATGCAGCGCGGACCCTTTAATTTTAGCCCTTCTCTGCAGCACCTTTTAATTTTCTGTACCTAATAGTTTCCGCTGTCTCTCTGTTTTGGGGCATTCAAATGCCTTGTAATAATCAGTCAAAATACCAGTGAGATTGGATACTGGGTATATGGCTCATTGCACTGGTCAGTCGCCCGTTTCCAGTGTGTGAGTTACCGTACCTGTCTAGGTTGAGGTTTAAATACAGTAATAATATTTATGACTGGAGCAGAAGAGGCTAACTTACTTCACCACCTCCCTGCTCACCTGCTCTTCCTGTTATCGCTGGGTTTGATTCTTTAGGATCAGTGTCACCCTGCAGAAGAGCTGAAGGGATGCCAGCAGAGCTCATTGCCATGCCTGGCTACAGAATACCAATCCTCCCCTAGTTGCTTCCGACTGGTCTGCTTCTCCACCAGTCCCCATTTTTATCCTTCAGGGATGTCCTAGGCACCGCCTGTGCTTATCTTTGGTGCTGCATTAGGAAAGAATTGCACTCTGCAGGAAGCCCACTGACCTCGGCAAAATCCTTCTGAGTGGTTTCCCTCTTTCCTGTAAGCTGCATCCTTCCTCCTAGTGGTCTGGTCTGAAAGGGTTTGCCTGGAGCACATGAATCCTTGTGCATGTCAGGGTTATCTGAAGACGCAGCTCTCAGTACTGTTGCTTTCCAGATGTACGTTGAGTGACATGAACATTCATTGGAAAATGTTACTGAATTCATAGAACTTTTTTTGGGTAATTACAATAGAATTTCAACTAACGGAAATTAAAATGGAAAATTCTATGATGGTAAATATTTGTTAAACATTTTAAATTTTAGAAAGCAATTCTTGCCCTAGCAAGTTTAGCTCAGTGGATGGAGCATCAGCCCATGGACTAAAGGGTCCCAGGTTAGATCATGGCCAAGGGCACGTACCTCAGTTGCAGGTTCAGTTCCCATGCGGGAAGCAACCAATCCATGTGTCCTTCTCACATTGGTGTTTCTCTCTCTCTTTCTTTCCCCCCTGCATTCTCTCAATAAAATCAATGGAAAAATATCCTTGGGAGAGGATGAACAAAACAACAACAACACACACACAAAAATAAAATTGTGCATGGGTGGGGTCTCCCAGCCTCTAGTCCTTACATAATGCCATTAAGTGTAGCATTCACAACCTTTTATAATCTGGTCTCTGCCCATATATCTAGCTTTATTTTGGAGCCAGTTTCTCCATAACTATTTGTGAAGTTGCAAGATAGCATAGAGATTAAGAGAACAGTTTTGTATATTACACCCCAGTACTAACCTCCCTCCCTCCCCTGCTTTCCCTCTGAGGTTTGACTTCGTGTTCGGTGTTTATCTCTGGATCTATTTTTGTTCATCAGTTTATGTTGTTCATTATATTCCACAAATGAGTGAGATCATGTGATATTTATCTTTCTCTGACTGGCTTATTTTGCTTAGCATAATGCTCTCCAGGTCCATCTATGCTGTTGCAAATTGTAAAAGTCCCTTATTTTTTATAGCAGTGTAGTATTCCATTGTAGATGTACCAAAGTTTTCTAATCCACTCATCTGCTGATGGGCACTTAGGCTGTTTCCAAATCTTAGCTGTTATGAACATAGGGATGAATATGTTCTTTCTGATTGGTGTTTCTGATTTCTTGGGGTATATTCCTAAAAGTGGGATTACTGGGTCGAATGGGAGTTCCATTTTTAACTTTTTGAGGAAACTCCATACTGTCTTCCACAGTGGCTGCACCAGTCTGTATTCCCACCAGCAGTGCTAGAGGGTTCCTTTTTTTAGAATCCTCACTAGCGATTGTCGTTTGTTGATTTTTTGATGATAGCCATTCTGACAGGTGTCAGAAGATACCTCATTGTTGTTTTTATTTGCATCTCTCAGATAGTGACTTTGAGCATGTTTTTTTGTGTCTCTCAGCCTTCTATATGTCCTCTTTCGAAAAGTGTCTATTAAATCCTTTGTCATTTTTTTGATTGGATTGTTTATCTTCCTTTTGTTAAGTTGTATTCGTTCCCTGTAAATTTTGGAGATTA